ATTTCAAGCACTGATTCATTCACAAACCTGCTGGCCAGAGGGCAAAAATTGAATTTTCTGTAATAACCATGGCTGTGCAACACTTTGGATCTGAAGGGAAAAATTCCTTTGGTTCACACACGATCATGCACATATTGTAGTATCTATCTGCAACTTTCCCAGAATCACACTGCAACTTTCCCAGAATCATACTGAAGCTGCAGAGGACAACCACAGGATCCTGGGAAAAGATGTGGTTGATTTAAAGCAGGGGTGTCAAACTCAATTTCATTGAGGGCCGCATTAGGGCTGTGTTTGACCATGGGTGGCCATGGTAACTGTGGCCAGGATGGCCATGGCCGGCTTGACGTCACTTGTGTTGGGGACGCCTGTGGTGGCCTGAGCACTCTGCCAGCGAAAATGGGCTTCTGAGCTCCATTTTTGGCTGCGACAGCCTCCTGCAACCTTCTTCCAGCAAAAATAGAGCTCGGAGGGCCGCACATGGTCCTCCTGAGCTCAGTTTTCACTGGCAGAGAGTTGCAGGAGGCAGTCGCAGCCAAAAATGGAGCTCAGGAGCCCTTTTTTGCTGGCAGAGGTACCATGGGCCGGTCCTTTGCTGTTTCCAGAGCGGTCCTGTGGGCCAGATCTAAGCACCCCACAGGCCGGATCCGGCCCCTGGGCCTTGAGTTTGACACTCCCGATTTAAAGAGTTACAAATTGAGGCACCGTGAGCAACTTTCTGTTGTACAGAGATGGGAAGTAGGGAGTGTCATTGGTTACTTTTCTTGTATACCACCCAGAGCCATATTGTTTTGAGTTGGACAGCCAAATAAATAAGGAGATGGATTAATCCTGTGAACTTGCATTATCATTAATATTATAAATATTAAGTAATTACCAGGTAACTTTACTAGTGTTTATTTCCAGTTTCTGGCAAAAAAAACCCCAATCCCTTTCATTGGGTAAAAATGGATACATTTCATGACCACAGCATTCTCTTAAGACTATTGCAAAAATGCTGGAAAAACAGGTCCAGTCACAAGATGTCTTGCCTTACAGCTCTATTACAATTGTAAATCAGGGGCTACCTTTTTCCCAGAGGAATTGAGGCACTGAGGCTATCCTTTGGCAACCTCTGCACTCACAGTAGTGGCTCCTGCAAAAGTCCCCTCTGATTCCTGAACAAATTGAGGTCCTCTTGCCTAGTCTCACCTGCCCTCTATTTTGTCTTAAGGCACTACAGCTTTGATGTTATTTTTTTCATACAGTAAATCAAAGCACTCCTGGCTACAGGAGAAAACATGTAAACCTCCCTTTTTTATTTCTCTCTTATTTTTCTACACATTTTAATTCATTTTATTTCCAGCAGGATTTCTGCTGCTCATTTCACAGGAAGAAATAACTTTCCCAGGTTTTAGAATTTCTTTCGGACCTGTTAGAGATTTGATTTATTAAATATATCAGTGGATATCAATGTATTTTACTGTCAAGCTATAGTGCACATTCTACTACTCATATGCTACTGACAAGTGCCATATACTACTGTTAGAAGCCTGGGCTGGATTAATTGCTCCTGACATTGGTTCCTTCCAGGTTGAGCCATGATTCTGCACAGGTGCATCACACAGCAAGCATTTCTTGTGCTGCTAGCCAGCCAGGAAGCAAGCTGGATATAAAATCTTACTTTTCTCACCACCGAATTGTATTTTGTTGGATAATGTTCAGTGTTTGAGTCTGTCAATATCTTTTTGGATCTTGAGCCTATCTTCTAAAGTGTTAACTATTCCTCCCCAGCTTGATGACATTTGATAAGTTCCCCTACTATTCCCTCATCTAAATCATTTATGAAGATGGGCCTAAGACAGAACCTTGAAGTGCCCCACTGCATGCTTCCCTCCATGTAGATCTAGTTCCATTGAGGAATACACATTGAGTGCAGTTGGCCAGCCAATTATGAATGCATCTGATGGCAATGCTGTCTATCTCACATTTTCCTATCTTGGCCTGGGCCAAGAGAGTCCAGGAATCCAATAAACAAGCAACAAATTAAAAAAAAAAAATGAAACACAAAGAGGTGGAATCCAGAACTCTAGAGATAATACAACGCAGCAAGGTAAAGGCAACAGAGCTGAGGTTTACAAAATTGTCTTTGTACAGAATAAAGTGAATAAATGAGCCAAACCGGGCCTCTGCCCAAATGCCCAGCTGAAGCACTGTTAGACTCTCTCTCCTGCTGACCCACTTTTTGGCCAGTCTGGCTGACCTGAAGAGCTAAACCTTCTGTTGTTGGATCTTTAAAGTGCTCCTTTGCTTAGGACTGGAGGATTGAAGTTCATATCTGAGACGCTGTTATTGGGTGCAGGCAGGGAGTACTGGATTTACCTCAGCCAGAGGCCTTGGCTTCACCTCCTGCAAGACTATTATCCCTAGATATCCTTGGCTCTTAATTACCCTTCATCAGAAAACAAGTCAAGCAAGGCCATAAAAAGACACTAGTTTTACAGCTGTCGATTGTTACGGTGTTTTAGGAATAAACCATGGTTTTCAACAGTTTGGATTAATGAGGGTGAGCATTAAAAATTGATGCACAGTTGTAAATGCCACAGCTGAAGATGAAAAAGCATAGCATTAAACTGATTTTCTTGCTTCAAAGAAACCTTGAACTCTCCATGTTCCTGAATATTCTATTCTTGGCAAAATAAATGCTATTTTAATTAGAATCCTATTAACAAAGCCATGCATGTTTTGTAGTCCAATAGAAGCATAACTAGAATTGGCACCTAATGCAAATGTTTGAGATCCAACAGCATTTTCAAGAAATATCTACAGGCTTTAAAATTTAAAAAAAAATAATGACATAGCAGGCAAGTGCTTAAAAGAAGTACTCAACACTTTTAACTAATGGAAAGTTCTATACACCCAGCCCAAACTGGAACATTTCATCCTTCGTGTAAATTTCTTTTTATCCTTTTTGTTGTTTTAACCGTTGTGCTAGGAGACAGCCCTAGTTTGCAAATAGTTGCCTCACCTTGGTAATATTTATTGATAGTTCATTGCTTGGCAGCTTAAACAAGTGACCTATGAGTTTCTTACCAAGAGAACTTAAAGTAGCCTTCAAACCTGACTACCTCTTCTGTGTTGTTTATTAGTTTTTACTGGGCAGAAACTTTTTGGTTGTTTCTTTCCCAATTGGTCTGTAATGTTAGAAAATCAGCTTGACATTGCAAAGAACTTACATCAGTTTTCATATTCAGCATTTGGATATTTAGAAACAAATTAATATATTGTGGTTGGAGTGCATGTAATTAATTCTAAGTTAATTTTATTTGAACAGTTTTATTTCAAAGATTTATATGATCACCCAACTCAGAAATGGATACTGCATGATAGCTTATAAACTATATATTATAAGCTAAACAAGAAATAAAAGTCTGGAACTACATTTTTAGGGAGTAGGAGTGAGCTAATATTTCTCTATCATCATTTGTAATTTGGATAAAAGAAACTGTTAATTTCTCTCTGGTACATTAGCATGTCAGAGGGAGGGGAGAAAACAGGGACCCTGTTGGTGGAGGGAAATAGTCCCAAGGTCTGTGGGGAACCTGATGATGGGAAGCAGAACATGGGGTGTCTCGGGGTGGGGAAAGACCTGAGGCAGACCGGTCTGGTCCTGCACTATGCTTCCCCACCCCTGAGGCACCCCATGTTCTACTTAACCCACACAGTCATGTAATAACCACATCAGAGAAAGCAGGAGATGGGGTCACTGAGCAAGGCGATCTTGCTTAACAACCATTACAACATGTGACCATAATGGGCAGGCTCCATTATGGTCAGAGGTTGAGAACTACCTATATAAAGATACTTTGCATCTCTGTTGGAAATGTGAATGATAAAGGGACATTCTACCATGTTTAGTGGATATGTAAAAGAGCTATAAAGATTGAATACATTAATTCAGGACGAAATTAAAAACAAGAAGCTTTTCTTTGGGAACTAATGGACAGTTAACTAGAAAAATGTCATGTGTGGCAAGATTGCTAAATGGTCAAAAGTGGGAAGGTTCGACACTTCCCACAAGAGAGGAATGGCTGGTTAAGATGATGGAATTTGCAGAGCTGGTTAAATTAACTTTTTGACTCCGGGGAATGGGGCGGGTGGGCGGAGCCGCGTGGCGAAGGGCGAGCAGGCAGCGGCTCCGCAGCAAGGTCAGAGTTTGAGGAATGGTGCATTCACCGACTCCTACTGCTCACCTTTCTCCCGCGGCTGGCTGTCAGGGAAGACAACCACCCGAAAGGTACCAGAGTCACTCACTCTCCTTCTTGAATGAGCCGCCCTGGTCCATGCGCCGGCTGCGCAAGCGCACACCCAACCTGCCACTGAATTAAATAAACAGTGTGTGCTTATGCAGCAGGCATGTGGACTAGAGCGGCTCATTCAAGAAGGAGAATGAGCGACTCCGGTACCTTTTGGGCGCTTGCCTTCCCTGACAGCCAGCTGCAGGAGAAAGGTGAGCAGTAGGAGTCCGGGGAATGGGGTGGGTGGGTGGGCGGAGCTGTGGGAGAAAGAAATTTTAAAAGTTTTCCTACCGGGTTCTGTGGGTGTGGCTTGGTGGAAGGGGGTCTTGGGACTGAGTGGGCGTGGCTGTGAGTGATATTGAATTGGCCACGCCCACTCAGTCACAGGACACCCACCACCACCACCAAGCCACGCCCACAGAACCGGTAGGGAAAAATTTTAGATTTCACCCCTGAGTTTAACAAACAAATTACAAGATGCTTTCCAAATTTCAAAATACAGCTTTTCTTTCTCTTTGCTTTTGTTCTGTGGTACACGTGAATGATCTTTAATGAAGTACAGACAATGATGTAAAATGTAAGCCTTCTCCACACTTCAACCTCAGGTTGAGGTAACTACTTTACCATCTTAAGTCTGCTCTCTCAGAGTGCATTCAGACTTAACAGCTTTCCTCCACACATAAATCTCTAAGCCTCACTCCTGTCTTTGTGCTTTTGTTACAGGTTATGGTCACACTGTGCCTTTGTCAGATGGAGGAAAGGCCTTTTGCATCATCTATTCAGTTATTGGGATCCCCTTCACCCTGCTCTTCCTGACAGCAGTGGTCCAGCGTGTCATAGTTTATGTCACCAGGCGGCCTGTACTGTATTTCCACATCCACTGGGGCTTTTCGAAGCAAATTGTGGCCATCATCCACGCAGTGATTTTGGGCTTTGTGACCGTCTCATGCTTTTTCTTTATCCCAGCAATAATATTTTCTGTCCTGGAAGATGATTGGAACTTTCTGGAATCATTTTATTTTTGCTTCATTTCTCTCAGCACCATCGGCCTTGGCGACTATGTTCCAGGAGAAGGTTATAACCAAAAATTCAGAGAGCTATATAAAATAGGAATTACATGTGAGTAGTAAACTAACACTCTAACAAGAAAAAAGCATATTTCTTCTTGATAACCTTTTATATTATATAACTGCAGAGAGAGAGAGAGCCAAATTACATGATTAGTCAAATCCCACTATTGATGAGAGCTATTCAAGCCTTTATATGTTTGATAATTATGTTAGTCAGTAAACAAGATGGTGTATAATTCTGCTTAAGAGTCCTACTGTTTGATTTAAGTCTTTCAGAATGTGAGAGATTTAATGGGGTTATGTGGAAGGACTGTGCATGGCATGGTCATTAAGAGCTTCTGGATTAGCAATTAATCCTTTTCACGGTGGAGATTTGCACTACTATTTACATTCAGTCAGTTCTTAGTTCATCAACTGTGATAATTCTTTCCTAGGTTACCTGTTGCTGGGCCTCATCGCAATGCTGGTTGTTCTAGAAACTTTCTGTGAACTTCATGAACTCAAAAAATTTAGGAAAATATTCTACGTGAAGAAAAACAAGGAAGAAGACCAGATGCACATTACAGAACATGACCAACTGTCGTTCTCTTCAATTTCAGACCAGGCAGCATCCATGAAGGAATACCAGAAAATAGATGAGCCTTTTGTGACTCCTCAACCTGCAGTTAACTCTGATGACTTTATAAACAATTAACCAAGGGCTTCCATTCTAGTATCAACAACAGTGCACTTAACATTCTTGCCGTTAGAACTAGTACTATTAATGTAACTATAGAAGCAGGAATGCTATGCTATACGATTCATATATACATAGTGCTTTGGGATCTTTTACAATTTATGGGCCAAATAGAGGCATTTTTGTTGCTGGCTCTACATACTGGGAATGTTGACTAAAACTAGTGTGCAGTTGAGACCTCAGGATTCATGATGTATACACAGTATATAAGATAAGACTATCCCTGTTCTAGTCTCTTCTCCTTTTCCACTCTAAAATCAACAAAATACTTAGCTTTTCCCCAAAGATCAGACCTTCTTATGCCAGTTTCATGGGTGGCAACAAATCTTTGGAAAGCACTGAGTTAGTAAATCTTCATGTTTTCCACGTAAGGGAATATGGTAGCCACGGTAGCTTTTAGAAAATAGGAATAATCTTCCAGATGGCAGTCACTGAGGTATGTAGCAGTGCAATTATCGCTACAGAACCAAAAAGTGAGAACCAAGTGTATTCTATCTGTTATGCGTTGTCTCAGTCACTCTAAGCTCTGAAAACATTTAGGTTTGTCTCAGTATGAATAAGGCAGACAAACAGCCATTCTGAAACATCTCTCCTCAATGTTTTGTCCAGATCATCTCTATTCTGTACAGCCTGGAGAGGGGAGTTTGGACAAAGGTGCTTTATGTGCGGCAGAAAGTTGTTTAGAGTTACATTTGCTGCACACTAAGCCTACATCAAGTAATTTTACCTTAAAATCAGGAGTGAAATCTACTTACCTTCCTTACCGGTTTGGAAGTGCATGCATGGGGCACATGTGCGCTTAGACCCTCTGCGCATGTGTAAAACCTGCACATGCACAGAGGGTAAAAAACACATTACTTCCTGGTTAAAACCAGGAAATAACGACACCCGGGTAGGTGGGTGGAGCCTCAAGCCGCCATCGCTACCGGTTCTCCGAACCACCTGCCACAATCGCTACTGGATCGCCCAATCCGGTCTGAACCGGGAGCAGTTCACCCCTGCCTAAAATATATTCTAAATGAAGACTTTCCTAAGCCTGAACGTGATCTCTGAGTGTTTTCCTTCTAGCCTTAAATATAACAAAAGGGTGTTATGCATCGGATTTGAGTGGGTTGTAGGAACAGGGACCCATGAACACCAGCATACAGAACTGAAGGCATATTACAGTGGACAGCCATTTTCCTTAGCATTTTCATCTTCACTTCAGGCTCCAGTTTTAGCAGACTGGCTGTGATTTTCAAACTATTCATAGCCAAGCAATTTTAGAGCTAAGATCTTATTTATTCAGTGAAATAATAATCAAGCTGAATATTGAAGTAATGATGAAAAGAGAAAAAAAAATACTTGAAAGCTCTTATCACCTAAAAGCACTGTACATGAATTTAATGTTTATTAATAGATTTTGTATCTTTACTAGGAAATTTGACTTTCTTGATAAATCTGCTTCAAAATCTATGTGAACTGAAATTTATTTTTAAGAAACCACAACTCAGAGATGCTTCTTATTTAATTTGATTTGAAGCTTAGTGTAGTGCATGCTCACCAAAGCCAATATTTTTGTACCATTTATGTTAGTTTCGATTGTACAGTTCAACTGTTATTTATGTACATAAATATATTTATATATTGTGCATATCATGTAGATAACTAGATATGAAGTGTCAGATTTGAAATTTTAAAGGTTCTTTTCCTCATAGATTTTTTTTATGAATCATTCAAACTATGGCACTGAAAATAATGACTTAAATTCTGATCAAATGAATGTGGAAGGGTAAGTCATTATGCGTGCAATGTTAACATTCCTGTTTTGTTTTGTTTTGTTTTAATATGACAGCCCACTCTTATTGGTGACAGTATTTCCAAGTAGCTTGAATGCTGCAACATCCTTCACTGTACTGTACTACAGAATTCAGATTTTATTGACAGTTGTTGCCTGGAAACACGTAAAGTTGCATAATTTGCAACTTTTTTGTTTGTTTTTTTTTAAGTCAGAGAACATAATAAAGCTTAGTTAGAAGAAGAATACTGTAGAAAAAACTGTAGAGATAAGGAATTATTATTCTAACAATTATCATTTCAGACTTTTAAAATAAATCATGTATGGTTCCAATTCTCTCTCTCTCTCTCTCTTTTTGACATTCTAATACTTAATTTTACTTGTCACATGAGACAGGATATATATTTCCACTACTGTTGCCATTACCACTAGCTCCTTCAGGGCATATCTGAAACTGGACTTATATAGAACACATAGAACACTCTATGTTCAATAGAGTGGAATGCAAAATGGTATATCATTATTATCATTATATACATAACAGTGTGAAATCACAGATACCAGTTCTTTAACTAGTGTCGGCCTTCATTCGCATCCGGTTTTTCCAAAGAACTTAAGGTTTTGTACTGTAATGTATTGGCATAGTACATATGTGGATGCAAGCAATAGGGCCTTTTGTAATTGATGAAAAAAATCTCAGTGCATAGGTTTTACAAGGCACTAAGTGCCTTGCTGTCCAAGGCACTTAGTGTTACTTCCATAACCATTGGGACCACCATGGCTGATTTATACCATAATGTTTTGATTTCTATTTTCATATCTTGATGTTTTGATTACGGCTATTTGCATCGTCAGGTGTTTGAACTGGATTTGGCATTTTTATCCACCTATTGAGTCCTTCCCAAGATTACTATCATAATTATCATTATGGTTTTAGTTATTCAGAGAAAAAAGTAGTTAATAACATTTAAGATGAAGTATATATTTTATCACCCATCAGTTAAAACTGACTTCAGGAAAAACTTCCATTAAACATCAAAAGCCTGCCTTAGTAGAAAAGCATTGCTTTTTGACAAAAGGGTAAATTCCTGAGGCTCAGAAAAATGAGAACATCCTCATATTCCTACTAAAAGTACCTTGGATTATGGTGGGGTTTTAAAAAGTATGTTTTCAGAATCTTAAAATCCAGACAGCTTTATTTATATGAATGCAATACTTTACATAACATTTTATAGGACACACAAACTGATTTGTGCCTTAAAAGGACCTAAAACTCTATAAAGGTAAAACTTTTCTTGTAACTAGTCCTAGTTAATAGTTTGGCTATATTATTTGTGACCAATTGAAGTCTCTCAAAAGCTTTTCATAGGCAGTCCCACATAGCCTATATTAAGATAATTGAAACAGGAATTTCAACCTGTGAATCTATGATCAGGTCTGACACTAGGACAGTTAACATGCTAGTCTGAGCAAGTCTGGGCAAATGCACTACTGACTATAGGCCGTTCTCAATTAATGATGGTAATTGGGACCCGAATTTCCATTGCTAACTGTTCTGGTCATAAATCGCAATGTGACATGGCCGCATTGCTTAGTGACAGCAATCCCTGCAGACCCTGTTGCTATCATTAAGCAAGGTTTGCAGGTCATTAAGGGATCCTGCCGGCTTCCAACCATCAAAGTCAGTGGGGAAGCCAGCAAGAAGTTCCAGGTGGCTGGCAAGCAAGTTGGTAGGATGGTTAGTGGCTTATGTCTGGCAGGGGAGAGGTCAAATGTGAAGAATCAGGACTGCACATTAAGTTCCAGTTAAGCTGATGTATTGCTCATGCCTATACACAAGAATCTAGTCAGCTAACAGTCAGCAGTAAATTGGCACTAGATATGCATTAACAGAATTCAAGTGGGGTGGGGACTTGGATCACTTGGGGGAATGTAACAACACTAGGGTTGACTCTTCACCCAGGCTCTGCCTCATATTGGCCTACAAGAGAGTATATGAGGGTGTGCAGGTTCCCAGGGAGCTGCAGCAGGAACACAGCAAAGCTCAGAGTAGGCAGAGCAACTGGCAACCAGGTTTGGGTGGGTGAGGGTGTGCAAATGGCTGGAGAGCCATGGTGGTAAAGCTTGGTATGGATGCACGAATGGCTGGGGAGAAGCAGTGTTAGTGCAGAGAGACTTGGGGTTGCTGCGGCTGGGTGTAAGAGGGCGTTTGAAGATGCGGCACAGTATGATCATAAGGTGGCTGCTGGGCACAGGAGACTTACTTGAGTGATTTGCAACCTTCCCCGATGGCTTCCCCATCACTTTTGCTTGTGGGAAGCCAGCAGGAAAAGTTACAACTTATTATTATATGACTCTGGGATGCTGCAAATATCATAAATGTGAAATGGTTGCCAAGTGCCCAGATCACAATCATGTGACTTCAAGGATGCTGAGATGGTTAGAAGAGTTCTGGTTGTACCAAACATCTTCTATTTGAGAATTATGGAGGCCATTGTCTGTCAGCCCTGGAGGCCATCTTTTCTTTTGGATCTTCAGGGCTGCTGCAGTTAGTGCTGTGGGGAAGTGGGAGGGGGGTTGTATGGAGTTGGTAGAGTTATTTAGCCAGAACAACATTCTTTTCTCTGAGAGTCAAGGATGTTCAGCCTGCACCTGGAGTGGTGTGACTGGGAGGCATCTCCAGTTGGGCCAGCGGATTGATTGGACCATGTGATTGGCATATGGGTGTAGGGGAAGGGACTTCGACTTTCTTTTGGGTGGGGAAAACCCAGAAGCTTTCAGATTTGGGTTTTCCCAGATGTGCCAATATGATATCGCTAATAAAATGGATCTTTGAGGAACTGATTGCCTCAGAGTCTTACTTGGTTGGGGGTGTTACTCAGAACCCTGATATTATGCTCTTAGGAACCTTCAGTGCAACATAAATTTTAGTGTAGCCTTCCCCAGATCTGTTCCTTGCAATAATCCTGACTCTTTAGCTCTGCAGGCAGTTCCTTTGACCTCATGGCTTTTGCTCTGCTACAGTATGCATTGTCAGCTGTGAGGCCTTCTACAGAGAAGTGTGTGCCTTTCCAAATCATGTCCAATCAATTTAATTTACCACAGGTTGACTCCATTCAAAGTATAGAAACATGTCAGCAATGATCAAGAGCAATAGGAGGCACCAGAGCTAAATTTCATGTGTTGTTCCAAAGGGTCTGAATACTTATGCCAATGTGATATTTCAGGGTTTTTCTTTCTTTTTAATATATTTACAGAAATTTCTAAAATTCTGTTTTCACTTTGTCATTATGGGGTATGAGTGTAGGTTAATGAGAAAAAATGGATTTCAACAACTGTAGAATCAGGCTGTAGCATAACAAAAGTGAAGTGGGTCTGAATACTGAATACACTGTATACCACTGATTTTTTGGTTTCAGATTGAAACCATAAGGCTGGAAGTTATTGTGAATCTGATTCTTCAAAGAGAAGGGGACATAATTTGCTTTTCTTGCACAAATAATAATTTATATGTCTGAATTTATTTACAACAATATCAAACACTCCATTAGAAACTTACATTTTTCTAAGATTTAAGTGGAGAAATTAAATTAGAGTTAATCGGTCTACAGGTGACTTTTTCTCCAAATGTAATGGCAGGCCACTCCCATTAGTGTATGTATTAGGGATAGGTGAGGCAAAGGTGATATATTTGCTTTATCAAAAGCAGTTTATATCACACCTTATGGGTGTTTCCAATTGACGATTAGTATCTACTGGAACTGTTAAAACAGCTTGGAACTACTTAAAGTAAAATTGTTATTATTTCTTCACTTTTAGAAGTGTAGTGTGTTGCTTTGTATGCACTTTTGAAGCTTTGCAAAACCATAGTGTATATATTAAATAAGATGGAGGCATTGAATAGAGCCCTGCCTTCAAGCATTACCTTCTGAAATCATTCTTTCAAAAGAATTGGAATCAGCTATGAACAGGCTGCATTCCAGCTACTGAAAAAACACAGACTGTTAATAATTCAGAGCTACCTGATGGCATCAAATATTGCATAATCACACTGAGTTCAAGGAGCCTTCCCTTTTCCCCACCCAAATAGAACAACAGAACAGAAGTGTGTTTTATTAGCCATCCTTTCAGTGTAGGTCTATTCATTTCTTTTAATGAAACATCCATATCAGATTACTGAAAAAAGAAAAAAAAAGGTAAGTAAAACTATCTATGAAAAATAGGTATGTAGAGAGCATCATTCAAAGCACAATTAATTTATGCTTAGACAATTGACTTGGTGTGCTTCAAGCATCTAAATAACAGCAACATACTTTTGCCAGGAAAAGAGAAACCTGCAGAAAACAATCATGCTTTTCAAAGAGTATTTTATAGTTCTTGCTAAATTGGGAAAAAATATATTTAATTTCATTCACTTTTTTAAAAAAATTATCTGATGGTTCCGCTACTCAGCAGATTATCAATGTTTGCCCTCTGGTGGCCAGTTGGATGGTGCTGATGTGTTCTAGCAGCAGTTAGATGTAGTGTAGCGTAGCTCCTAGGTTAACTGGTAGAATTTCTCCCATCTCAGGAATGCTTTGAGGTCTCCATATGTATGCCAGCTTCCAAACTGTCATGCCTACTCTACTCTATGCTCTTTGGTCCTGTCAGCTGCCACTTCATGCTTGCCTTTTAGGATTACTCAGTGCCAGACTGCCATGACCTCTAGGGGGAATGGTGGGGGAAGGATTCAAGGAAAATGAAAAGTTCACTGTATTTCCCTGAGATGTGATTTCAAGGTTGACCATCTAGGAATGGAATATAGTTGCATATCAAAGCGACTGTTCTGAAATGAATTTGATTGGATAGTAATAGCACTTAGACTTATATACCACTTCATAGTGCTTTAGAGCCCTCTCTAAGTGGTTTACAGAGTCAGCATATTGTCCCCGACAATCTGGGTCCTCATTTTACTGACCTCGGAAGGATGGAAGACTGAGTCAACCTTGAGCCTGGTGAGATTCGATCTGCCAAACTGCTGGCAGCCGGTGATCAGCAGAAGTAGCCTGCAATACTGCATTCTAACCACTGAGCCACTATGGCTCTTATATTTGGGGGGGGGGGCATGGGGGGCAGCATGGGAAGGCACCTAAGGGAAGGGAGGTTAGATATGGAGATTTTTGGCATGCAAACGTCAGTTCTGGCTTTGCACTACTGTATTTCACTTGACCTTTAGTAAACTAGTAAACTATATCTTGTATCAGAGATGGGTTTCAGCAGGTTCTGACCCGTTCTGGAGAACCGGTAGTAGAAATTTTGAGTAGTTGGAGAACCGGTAGTAAAAATTCTGACTG